TTCAAATTTATATTTCATTCAAAAATAAAAATATTATCGCTTTCTCAAAACCATATAAAATCGTATTATATCGATAGAGACAAATAATAAAAAATAAATATTAAAATTAAGATTTATCTTGCTGCATTATACGAGTATCCCTTATAATTTATTTAAAAGATATATGTTTATGTCATTAAAATTTTATTGATCAAAGAGATAACCAAGTTTCAAAACAAAAGTTAAGTAAGAGACCAAACATGTAACAAAAATGAAAGGTATTTTAAGAGACTAAATTTGTTGTAATAATAAAAATTATTTTAAGGAATTAAATCTGTTATAAAATAAAAAGTAATTTAAGAGACCAAATCCGTTATTGAAATTGGAAGTGAAGGATAGGAGGAGGAATAGACAAAATTGTCACTTACTAACAGAAACTTAATTGATTATATGAGCATTTATCGTTAATAATTATTTTTAGAGACCTTATTTGTAGAACGAATTCGGTCCCTCAAAATACCTTTCATATTTATTACATATTTGGTCAAAAACATCAATTATTTGCAAAAGAACAAAAATCAACAAGGAAAAATATAAAAAGAACGTCTAGGGTATTACAATCACGATTTGCTATAATTATAGGGTCATCACGGATGTGGTTCAAGAAAATAATCAGAGAATTACTAAGAGCTTGCATAATAATACACAACATGATTGTGGAAGATGAACGTGACACATATATTTGTCATTTGATTTCAAATATGATGCTAATTCTAGTATATTTATGCCTCAAGTTTCTCGAAATCATCTTCCCGAGTACGAGAATTATCTTCAAAGTCATGCAATACGTAACAGGTTTCACAACAATCAATTGCAAGAAGACTTGGTTGAAGAGATTCGGATCCAATTTGAGGAAGAGAAAAACAATGATTAATGTAATATCCTATTTTTATCTATATGTAATCGTTTTAGTTTAATAAATGTTGTATTATGATATAATTTAATACGATATTTATTAAATTAAAATAATGAATTATAAGAAACATAATTTTTTCGCTTTACAACAGAACCATAAGGCCACCGTCACTTTATCCTTCAATGTAGATCTGTCCATGCTTGTACCCATAGTAACATATAATTGCTACAAGGACGATTCTTTTCTTGGCACACACCATCCTCGTACAATATCACATGTACCGGTTGTCTGTTTTAGATGTTCTTATGTTCTTGTAAAATGATATCGTTCTCATTTGAACCTTTTGAAATTGTGTGACGATGATGATGCATCTTTATGTTGGGATTTCTAAATTTGTTGGTAAAAATTCACCTCCTTTTCTCGACATCGTGAAAGGGAAAAAGACGGCCTTTTCTACTTTACAATCATCTTTGCATGTCTTTCCAAGCCAAAAAACCCTTTAGGGTGCGTTTGGTTTGTAGGAATGGAATGAAATTGGAGGGATTTGGATTTAAAATTCATTCCAATCTTGTGTTTGGTTTGTAGGATTGGTATGATTTAAAATCTTGGGATTCATTTACAATCCCGTGACCGATGGATTTTAGAATCCTTTGGAAGCACATGGTTTTTTAAAAATCGATTCCCGTGGGATTTGTCTTGCCCTAGCTCACGTCTCCATTTCTCCTCCATTTTCATCGCTCACCGTCTCCTCCAGCCTCCTCCATCGCCGTCTCCGTCGATTGAGCACACTGTGGTCGTCTCCGGCTCCGTCGCTTTCTCCCACCGTGGTCGTCTCCCTCTCCGTCGCTTTCTCGCACCGTGGGCGTCTCCTACTCCGTCGCTTTCTCCCACCGTGGTCGTCTCCATCTCCGTCGCTTTCTCCCATGGTGGTCGTCTCCATCGCCGAACCTTTTTCCATTCTCATCGATTTCTGCTTATCGAAGACAGGTAGGATTTACTGTTTCCGATTTCTACTTACTTCGATTTCTATTACGACTTCACAATACGATTTATGTTTCGATTTGTACTTCGATTTCTGCATATTCTGTTCCGATTTGTACTTCGATTTCTGCATATTCTGTTCCGATTTGTACTTACAATTTTTGCATCAATAGAACTTCATGTCATAGCTACACAAATAATTATTTAATAACAGCCTCAACAAATTAGAATTCTACAAATAAATATGCATTTTGGATGAAAAAGTTTGATTGTTAAGAGGTTGTTTTGAGAAAATGAAAGAGATTTGGTGACTAAAATAATTACAAAAGAAAAAAAAAACTCAATTCAAATCCTACAAACCAAACATGATTTATAAAGGAATAGATTTCAAATCCAATCCAAATCCTGCAAACCAAATACAGGAATGGATTTTAAATCCAATCCAATCCAAATCCAAATCTCTCCTGCAAATCCAAATCCCTCAGAAACATTCCTGCAAACCAAACGCACCCTATAGGTTTTTAACGATTGAATTGCTGCTAAAAATGGTCTCTAAGGGGCCATTTACTGAATGTTTATCCAATAACCACTTATCAGGTCACTTACCTTATCAGATTAACATGGCAATGACCAAGAATATTACCCGGTAAGACAATGGCAAGGATCGAGAGTTTTACCCGGTAAATCGCTGCATAGGATGTCGTTTTCATGGACTAGAATCTTATCCGCTAAGGTAAGTAAATGTTTAGACCAAACCCAAAAACCCTTGGCCAAAATTGATCAAGATTCTAGACCCAACCAACTAGTAAGAAATACCAAAAGACTTCGACCACATAAATTGGTTCTAAGATGTTACTTATAGAAGCGATATGACAAAAGCAATGATCATCCGCTTAGGCCGTGTCCACGACACTCATGGCGACTACACACAGCTCATAACCATGAAATGGCTAAAGAAATAGGGGACAAAATAGGAAAATGACAAGTGACTAAGCAGATTGAAAACTTAAAACACTTGCCGTAGTAGCAAAACGAGGAAACTAGTGAGGAATGGATGGTATGTGTGTTTGGTATGCGGGACGGGATGGGACAAAAACTTATCGTCTTACGTTTGGCCCGAGATTAGACCGGGAAATGACATGACCTGAGTGGGTAAAAAATGCATTTTTTTTCTGTCCCACCAAAATTATTGCAACGAAAATAAGGGGATGGGACAAAATTGATAAATTTGGTAAAATGACCCATGTCAAATTAAAATCCTAAAACTTTCTACAATTCTTTCACCCACCTACCTCACTCTCCCCCGTCAAGTCTCTTCCTGTCTGCGTACCAAACGCACCTAGAGAACTGGAACCGACAAAGTTGAGTAAGGGAAAATGTATAGGGTTTTCATTATCTAAAGACTATATGCATAGGATTGCAACGATTATTACGACCACTGGATCCCTCCCACGGAAAATTACATATTTTCGTTTAAGACCATTTACAGTGTCTGCTACGGAGCAGAATAAGATTCACGAATGCTAGTTCTCCAACAAGGATGCAAACGATAAATGGCACATATGAAGAAATATTTTGAAAAATATTATTGGATCAAGGTACAGATATCAAACCTGAAAAGTAATCATAGTCGCCCATACATGGAAAGCATGTCCCTTAGCTTCTTTGCTTCAGGCTCCATGCTCGAAAAGCTCATGGAATTCGGTATCCTCCAACTCCAATTTCCAGACTGTATTCAGAAAAAAAAAATCTTATCAACTGCAAAACGTGTTCAAGATACAGGTGGCAGACAGGGACGGCTAGAAAAGCTAGCAAATTTCGTCAAATAAATGAAGGAGAAAGACCAAAAGAAGTTTTGGATCTACAAGGTAGACACGAAAAAACCAACCATACAGAAAACAGAACAAAAACACATTATATTCACTGATGTATTTACAGCGAATGAGAGACTGCAATCTGTAAGCATATAAACCAGCTTCCGTGTTAATGAAATTCGTCGATTGAGCAAGAAATCACAAATACCAAGGCATATGACATCTCGGCATGCACAACACCAGCAACATCGAGCCCAGTCTCCTAGGAGGTCAACTGGTCAAGGGTTCAAACCTCACCACAGGTGAAGAATGTGCATGAGCATTTACTGTATATATATATTATATCCTTAAAAATCAATATCCAGAAGCCCTTTGAGACACCTGACCGACCACAATGGTAACATCAGCCGCAGTGCTCGCTACCAAGGGTGGCATTTTCTTATATGGAGTAAACCAGTTGGAAATTCAGAATTCATGACAACTGGCATGTTCATGATGTTTGTGATTGGTTATTTTGACCTCAATTTAATACTCACTGATTTTATTAAACATGGATCTATTCTATAGCATGTTACAAAAATAAAACCAATAAAATTGTGTTCCATTGCCATATTTTATGAGATATACATTCTCTCGGTAGAAATCCAACCTACAGTCTAAGCAGGTCATTATTTGATCGGCATATAACATGTGAAACCAACAATAACTCGGTGTGTTGCCTACACCTGTCAGTAACAGAACTGTTTGACAAGTAGTTCACCATTCTCCTTATGGCTCACATTGTTTGACATCGCGCGGTTCTAGATGGAATCTCATACAACAACTGAAGACATTAACTTAAGGTTGTCTATGCAAGGATGTTAATTGATGAACTTCAATTTCAAGTGCTGCATTATATTTGTACATATATGATTCTAAGGTTACTTCCATTTTTATAAGAAAGCTTACGCTACATTCCTAGGTGACAAGAGACATAAAGACCTTAGCAACCACGTGTTCCCCTTTTTAGGTCTATAATCCGGCTGTCTCAAGTTGCTAAGACTGGTCCTGGTCTACTGGGTTGTTTCATCTACCACCATGACTTTCTTCAATTTAAACCTCAGAAAATACGTCACAAATGCTGGGTAATGGTTTCATCATCTGGGTACCATTTCAGATTATGGTGAGAGGTCTTCTACTGGTTCAGAAAAAAATTCAGCAGTTATATGTATTTTGTCATTGGGAAAAGAAAGGATCAGTGGTATAGAGGCTGCTCTGATACCACGAAGTTTTTGGAAAATGAATATCTGGCTACTCACTAAATTATTCTGACAATATGCATCAGATTTTATAGCAGAAAACTCCTAGCAGAAAGCAGACATTTAAGAATAGAAGAAAAAAAAAGAAATTAACATTGTAAACAGAGCTAGAAATAATGACCTAATCCACAGATGGAAAAAATAAGTATGGAAGGGAAATTTGGAAAGCGGATATTTCGGAGATCAGTTTCCAAATAATCAGGATTCTCGCATTCCAACAAGTACACATGCCATGGCGAAGACTAGACTATCAAATTCAGAGCTAAGAGTTGTAGGTATCCCATGGTGACCCAACAATCATGATCAATAACACGAGACTTGGCAACACAGATGGGTTTCCTTTGCAAAAAATGAGTTCAGAACTTATTACCTGTGTTGCTGGAATATTCATTCTAGCAGAACTCCCCAGCCCAAGGATATCCTGCATAGGTATGATTGAAGTTTGGGCTACTGAAGAGAGGGCAGCTCGGATTAGAGCCCATGAGATATCATCATCCGCAGAAATTGACAGATAGTTAAGCACCTGAGATAAACAAGAGTCATCGAGTCCATACGCATAATTTTCTTAACAAAGATAATGAGAAGATTGTAGCATAAAGGAATACTCACATTGCATTGTTCTTCTTGCTGCAGGACATCCCACCAACCGCGTATCTATAGCAAACCAAATGCAATTGTCAACAAACTGTTTGGAGAGTGATGCTGTTGGGTGTTGTAATCATTAACTTTCCGGTGATAAATCATTTGTTTTGATATGATTTTATGAAGATATGATGCACTTTTGGTATGTGATGATTTACAAAAATCTATTCTGATCTTGATCTTGAGTAGTTGAGTTTTTAAGGGAACCGATATTCTCCTGATCCCTTGATATTAGGATCTAGTTAGTTTAGGAAACTGAATCCCTGAAGTTTAGGAATTTGTTGTTTTTTATATTTTGCCTATACTCTGCCATAAATATATTGCAACCTGATGTACAACAATGCCATGAATGAAAAAATCCCATGTAATTCTACAGAGCTCAACTAATTTCCAGCTCAAAAGGTTTGTTCAACTGAACAAACTGCCAACCACTTTTGACCTCCTTGTTTTTATATGCAACTTATTCTCAGAAAGACAAATCCACCGAGTGGTATAACGATCCAGGGGATAGAGAGCTCACTGTGTCATTATCATGAGTTCCAGTATATACGACTTGATTTTGCTCATGATTATGAGGCAAATGAGGGTTTGCTGAATCACTTCCAAAACCTTTTCATACAAACATTGGAAGAGATTAGTTTCTGAGAGTTCTAACCTTGGGCTTCAAACAGAATCAACACAATAAGAAGCAATCTAATACCAAACTGGAGAACAGCCATTCCAGGTGCCCCAATGGATTTCCTAAGCTGGACTACATCCTCAGTTATAACTCCCTGTCATGCAGAGATAGAGAAAGAGATAATAGAGTATCCATTTATAGATTTAACAATTTCTATATGAGAATAGACCTTCAGAATCGTCTAAAGTATACATATTTACTACCACCTCAGTTATCCATTGTGTATATATCTTGTTTTACAAATAAGCATTATATTACCACCTCATATTTCCATGAGGCAATTGGATGGAAATCTAACATAAGTGTTCTAATTGATATGGTTGTGATAGTTTACTCAAGCAATTGATAGATTTCTTTTATCTGCGTGTAAAAGTAAAAACTCCTTGAAAGTTCAATGATGACTTCATCTATGTCTCCTCTCGAAATTATAATAAGCAGAAAGAATTTACATATTCATCTTTCCTATCCACAACACCACTTATAGTTATTATTGTTATCAAATTTGAATAAAGTCATATAACTATCATTGATAAGCTCTATCATTTCTAAAGTTAAATCAGGATTGTGGAACAAAACAGAAGATACAGTACAACTGTACTATATGACAYTTCATCCATTGATCAGAACCAAGGGAAAATTGAGATATAACACAGATCAAGCAGATATAAGCTCTAATGCCAAGTTACTTCATGATAGATTCTTAGAAGTTTCTGTTGCATTTCTGATAGATAGGGCTTTTTTGTCTGTTTCAATTATTGACCCACAAACCCATCTTCTACATTATTTGTGAAGGGTCCTTAAATCTCCACACTTTCTGACAACTAAAAGATAGCCTACAACAAATACATAGTATTGTGGATGAATAAATTAAAGGCTTCCAAGAAAGTTGTAAAAATAGGAAATGTTSAACTACTTTATCACTCTACTGGGTGTTTCTCTGATTAATTACATCATCTTCATGTGAGCTATTGGTCTCTAAGATATAGATGAGGGGTAAGAGGAGATAGGAGAGAGAGAATTGTATCTAGGCAGCTCCGAGAAAGTAAAATGGTTGCAACAGAGAATTTTAGAAAGCATTTGAATGTATTCTGTAATTCTATTTGTAAAGCATACCAAGTCTTCTGCTATGATATTGATCTTCCCAACAGCTCTAAAGATGGCATTAAATAAAGAACTTCCAGGTCCCACCTACTATCAACAAAAATATAATCACTTACAGAGCATATATGAGAAGTTTCAAGTACTCTTGTATATCAGAAGGGATCTGACCTTCCATCTACCCAAAGTGGCAATTTTTGCTTCTGCAAGCGAAAACTTTAGTATTATAACATAGATCAAATGAAACACGATTCCTTCAATCCACATCATTTGTCCCTTTAAAATGGCATTGGGATAAACAAATTAACTTTCAGCCAGAAATACTCTCGTATCAGAAGTCTATCATTAATAAATGGCCTTCAGGCATATCACAGTTAGTACGTTTAGGTTGTCTCTTTTTTCCAATGAAATTAATTTAAACCTATCAACAAAGATGCTTTTATCTTTTTAGAGCCCAGTAATCACCGTATGTGGGGTAGCACTGTAGTTATGAGGGAAACTTGTGTGCAAATTAGGATTTGATCATTTAATTTGAAGTCCTGAAGAACAAAAGGTGCACACTTGATTCAGGACAGAAGCGAACAAATGATTACATACAGAATTCACCAACATGCAAGACCTGCTATAATTAACAAGCCACAGTGCACAATGGGGGGGGCCACCAACCAACCAGTATGTACACAAGATTAGTGTAGCACAAATGCTAATATTGAGCTTCATTGCGGCCACACAATGATGAAGAAGGTCAGCACAGAACTGGTTCAGGAGAAGTTGAGACAACAGTGCTTGAAATGGTTTGGTCATCTCAGATGAAGATTGGATGCACCAGTTAGGAGAGGATACTTTACCCAGGAGGTCCTTAAAAGAGTAAGAGGGAGGCTAAGGCTGACATCTGAAGCAGCTCATCGTAAGGAATGGGTGGAAGGATGTTATTCATGTCATGGATCCCTAGGGGTGTTTAGCTCTTATGATTTATAATATCTATGGGTTTCAATGTTAGTTTAACCCAAGTCAGTTCGAGAAAATTGGTATTTTCTTGTCATCATATACAGAACTTACCAGAAGGAACGGCCCAAAAGCCAGAAAATCCCCTGAAGTGATCTATCCTGAACTCATCGAATAGATCCTGTGCACGTTGTAACCGACGTACCCACCAGGAAAATTGATCTTCTTCCATTGCTTTCCAGTCATACAGTGGGCTTACATGTAAAAGAAAATGTTATTCACTATAAAGTACACATAAATATCCATACAAGTCACTAAGTTGAATGTTGTCCAGCATGCAAGTCAACACATAGTATTGGTAAAAGTAAATCTGGGTATAGAACTCATGAAGTAATGAGTAGTGAAGATGAAAAGGCAAAAATGTTCTATGTTCTTATGCTTGAAAAAATTAATTTCATACAATATTACTTTGAGAGAAATGTAAATAGAGGGTTGATTAGATATTCTACTTGAACTTGGCATTACTAAGCTTCTATGACATCAGTTTAAATGAAAGCATAAGGCTCAGAGATCCAGATAAAACACTAACAGTAGGCCCTCTGTGATGCAGTGTCCTATGTGTCATCCACTGAGTGGGTGAAAGAGTTTTCATTGACACAAGCTCCTAGTGGAGAAACCTCCCTTCAATGTCTCCTGAAATGTGTTTTATGCCCTGCTCAGGTTTCAGTCTACCCCTACAATAACTGATCTTTGTAGCATGTTCTATTGTTCTATACCCTGCAAATGTTTCTGTCTAAAATTGCCAAAGGTACCGTCCTCTTTCCAAAATTAAGGTTTCTGTGTGCCTAACAATTACTAGTTCAGGATTTGGCATGTGCACAGCAAAAAAAAATGACTCTTCTCCACTTATGCAGAACGGTTATGTGCCAAAACCAAAGTATATCAGGCATTTTGAGTCCCTTTTAAGCAATTACAGTTTATTAAATTTTCGTAGAAGTCCATTCTGACATATTTTTTTGCAAGGAGCAACTGCTATTAATAGACAATGGTAACTCGGCTAAAGTATAAACCTGTCCCAGAGTTGACCAGTTTCACTAAATGCATCAGGCGGAACGCCACTAACCAAAAGCGGAAACCCTTTCCTGTTCTGCCAGACAAGTAGATGGTTAGAAACTGAGACTGAAGCTGAACATCAAAGGCGCACCTTACATAATGCATATCACCCTCAAATATTATTTACTCACAAGCAAAAAGGATTTCTTGTTGGCCCAAACATCTGCACTGTGATAACCAACATAGATGGGCATGTCTCCCATTATGCTTACCCCTTTCATCCGAGCATAATGACAAACTCTTTTCCACTGCCTTTGAAATAAGAACTGCTGTGCAACAAAAATGTCGATCTGGGTATGGAAAGCCGAAAATGGTCAGAAATCAGGTGATCTAGATAAAATCACATATGCAGACTGGAAGTATAATCATCATGGATAAAGAATTGTCAAAGGGGCAGACATCTTACAAAATCCTTTTTACTTTGGTAAATATCTTCTAATGCAGCAAGATGACGATTCTTTAAAGGTTCGGGCCAATCATACCAATTATATGTATTATAACAGTCATCAATAGCAGCAAAATACGCTGCATCTTGAAGCCAACCTATCATATCATCAAAAGAACCCAGTACCATTTTCAATCCACAAACATAAGTTTCCTAACAATCTCAGGGGGACAATAAAGAATTTACAATATGAAAAAGCGTACACATTATATTCAAGACTTCCTAATATTAGTGCTGGGTAACAATTGCAACCAAAATTCAAACAAGTATGATCATGCATTTAACACAAAAGATCCTTTCAGATAACTAGTAGAAATAAAAATAGAACAATGCACCAAATAGTTCTTATGAATCTATTGATGATTTACATATTTTACATATCACATGTCAGAAGTGCATTATGAATTACAAGGTGAAATAAGCCATCCCTAGAACTCCTCACCTACATGAAAACCAATAACTTCAATCATAACTGAAGAAATACAGAAGAAACTAAAATAGTCATAACTGAAAAACAAAGTTGGTTAATAGTAAGATAATGGATATTTTTAGTTTGAATAAACTAAAGGCATGCAATGTTTATATTTCTGCAGTGTAAAACTGAGATTCACGCATTTTCAGCTCAATAAAAAATCATTATTCCAAAGGTACATCCCTTTCCAAATCCGACACAACAGAAAGACACTTAACACTCTTTGATGAAATAGTTGACTTTTTGTTCTCAGAGATTTTGATTTTACCAGTATTTTAACTCGTCCTGGAGAGGTGGGTGTTCCCTTGTTTGAAAGTAATTTAGTGCCCACAATTGCAAATAAAACTATACAACGTTTACTTTCAAGTTATTTTAGTAACTTGAACTACTGTGAGAAAAAAGGCCAGAAGAGCACCACATGCAGAATAAATATGTCAAGGGAGACACACAAAACCAAGCTACAACTAGGTTAATCCTTGATAAAATCGAATAACAGAATAGCTTAAAGAAAGTAAGTTAGAAAGAGAGCGCCAAGGATATCTTACTTGCAACATCAGGATCTTTACGGAACTCTTCCAGCTGACATTTGAGATCCCCCTCACTTGAAATGAGCCTTTTTGCAGCCTAAGCCGAAATGAAGGTTGAACATCAAATTTCACTTGGCTATACAGAGTTCCGGTAGAGGACAATTGTTTAGACCCAAAGTGGCCATATTAAATAGCATATATTTGTGTGTGGTTTTTTTTTTCTTTTCTTCTTTTTTTTTTGTGGGGGGAGAGGGGGGGGGTTAATGTCCTTGATGCTTGCCAACTAAATCCCCAAATATATGCTTCCGAAAAGGATCCTAGGCAAAAATATTAACCAGTCCAAGGTGCAACCCCATGAGCCAAAAAAATCGGAGCTTATGAAGCACACCCAAAGGGATCATGATTTACCTACAATCTACTCCAGATAAAAGCATGTCTTACCAATTGGTCCACCTCCATTACAGTATGTTGCATTAATATTTGTAGGGAGGGTCCTCATGGCCACATTTTCTGTCATACAAATGAAGGATTTGTGGTGCATTGACTTATGAAACTAAGGATTTGCATTGACATCATAAACAGAATGGATAAGAGACTAATGGAGATCCTTAGAGATGAAGATCAACTGTGCAAGAACACTAATTTTACCTTAGATACAGATGTAGAATCAACCATTACTATAGTTCAACTTTACCCAGGAACTTCAAGCAAAGTCCAAATTACATGTAACAAACTGTTTTTCTCTTACTAGTTTACCTTGGCTATCAAAGGATCCTTCAGGTCAGCAACAGTTTCGTAATTTACACGATCTGTATCCCTGCAGAAATGTTACAGTGATGAAGGAATATACATTCCTGACAGTAATATATAGCAATTATATTCACTTCATTAATCATTGATTCTTACAGTGGTTCAGGGAGCTCTTCCTTCATCAGTAAACCATCTTTCACAAGATCATCCAAGGATATAAGAAGCGTGTTACCACAATTTGCATCCTGGAAGTGAGCATTGGGAACATCTTTCACTATTCTATTAAAAACAAAGTCATTAAACTTTAGATGCATAATGAAACTCTATCAAGTATCAGGTATACCCCTGTGAGAATCTGAGATCATGTGTAAACAAGGAATAGTAGTAAGACCAGGAATTTGATACTTAGAATTGTCCTGTACAGTTGAGAAATTAATAATGTACTACCTGATGTTTTTAGACCAGCCATATAATTATGAACGCATATTAGAAAAAAGATAAAGATAAGCTCAAGGTGAGCCCTCAAAGTATCTGCAGCTACAAATGGAGAAAGACAAATTGAAGAAATTGGACAGAAATAAGCTTCCTAGCCCATATTTGCAGTCATGCAAACTGTCTATTTGAAACCATGCATAGCCCATTATCCTCTAGCTAGCTTTATGTATATACTTCTTGTTTACTAGGGTCTCTGTTTACATTTCATTTGAACATAAGAAATTAAGGAACAGCTTAGTCACATTAAACAAAACAATATTCCCTTCTGATTTATGACCTGCTTGGTGCACCAGATTTAGCAGAGCCTGTTCCCAATGGACGTGTTCCTTAGGCATATGAGTTGGCATTAATCCTCATAAAATCTTAGATCCAATCAATCTTCATGAAGAATCAAGGATCAAAATTACTTACTATCCTGTAACTCAGAGAAAAACATGGTACTTTATCAGACATAATGACCGTTAACAATTTCTTTCTCGGTGACCCTGATTCTCTTTTCTTTTCTTTGATTTCCTTCTAGTTCCTCCTTTATAAATCCCTTAAAAAGAGATGGGTAATTCCCGTGTTATAGTGTTTATAATGAATAAACAATAATAGTTTTTTATAACTACTTAAAAGGAAGAGCTCCATTAGCATATCTCTTCATGCAGTAGTTACAATCAGTCCCTACATTACATACGTTTAACACTGTTATTTTTGTATGTGCTTGTTTCTGGCTGATATATCATTTCTTGATAAAAGTTCCATGATTAAAAGTTTACTTTATCACCTGGCCAGAGTATGGTGATCCCTCCTCATTTGCCTTCCTACCTGGTGGAACAAGTGGGAGAACCTGCATAAACACAAAGAAACAGTTCAGACTCACATATACCTGAACAGATTCTGTCTGAATGGAAGATCAGAACATTTTCTTGTAGTGACATAATAGTTCGAGAGAACAACTGCAATTGGATAATCAGTGAAAAAAGACCAAGAAATGGTAAAACATAAACATAGCATTCAAATGTCTAGTAATGAAAAGATCTATAGTGTAAACCAAAAGAACACGGTACATACTACATCCCACTCAGAGGTAGGGTCTGGAGGGGTGGGATGTACACAAACCTTCTCCTCTACCAAGAGGGAAGGGAGGTTGTTTCCATGAAGGCCTCCAGCTTGCAAAAAAGTGTTCGCTAAAAGGTTTTGGGGAAGACCAGAGTGCTTCAGAATGTTTGTCAAAAAGTTCGAAGAACTTGAAGAGTAGAGAAGAACGCAAGACCAATTTGGTAAATTATGAATAGTTTTTGAAGAAGACTAAGACTAGAAGACGTTAAGGAAAAGGTACACAAGTACGTATAGTAAAACGTAGGAAAAGTGTGAAAAACTTAGCATCCCTCTATCTATCGTAGACGCAAGTAACCTATCTCTCGGTTTTCTAACCCTCCCCTGTCCACCCTATAGCTCTCCATAACCTCCCGCCCATGTTGGCTACAGGTCTTGCACATGATCTGCTATCATGGTCCAGCATCTCCTCAAACTCATATCAGAGGTCATATCTTCTGAAATCTAAAGCCGCCATGTCCATCCTCAACTGCCCATCTCATGTCCTACTCGGTCTGTCCCTCCTCACCCCCTCGAGTGTCACGCTTTCTATCATTATCCTCGGTGTTGTCATCTATCTCCTGCAAACGTGTCCAAACAACCTCATATTCCCTCCCTTGATAAGCACAATCCTGAACTCTGTTTGAAAGACCTTGTTCAGTATCCTATCCAACATGGTGAGGCGTCCATCTAAACATCCTCATTTTTACAACTTCCAACTTGCTCTCATGGGCCTTCCTTGTCGTCCAACCCTCCCACACATACAACATAGTTGGTGATGGCTACCCTGTAGAATTTCCCCTTCAGGACCTTGTTGTCACACAGCAATCCCGTAACAGCCCTCCATTTTAACCACCTCATACTTATGTGATGTGTTACATCACCCTCGACCCTCCTTCCTTCTGAATCATGGAGCATAGGACGCCATATGCAAAACTTGCATCCCTTGTAGGACGACGGCAAAGATTTATCAATTTTAAAGGAAATGACACTTAGCTCTTTTCAAGAAAGGCCAGATACAATACAACACTTTTGAGTTGCATTCTAAAAACAATTCAACGACACCTGTGATAACTTTTCTTGCCGTGGTTATGTACTTTTGGTAAATGGTTTATTTTCCTTTTCTTCTCCAATTCAGTTTCATTTACTTTTATATATACTCTCTCGATCACATGCAGCAAGAATCAATTCTACAAAATTATCTTCATTTCTCTAGGCAAAGTGGATGGTATATTGTACAACCAAAACAAAACACACCCTTCAAAACTACATTATAGTTTTAGATGCCAAACCTCGTATCATAAACTTCAAATTCATATGGATTTCTTAAATTCCAACACCTACATCATTGTCCTAAAACTGAACTTAGATAAATTAATTTCTTCTCGAAGCATTCAACATCAGTATCAGTTTAGAAGAGGCGTCACAAGTTTTACAGCCATGGTCAAAGTTGTTATCTTAGTTATAAAATCAACCGCTACAAAATAACTTCAATTCTGAAAATACAAGTCATGCAGCAAAATTTAGACCTGCCAAAGTGAGCAACCAGCTTCATGAAGCCAATCAATGAAACGGAAAGCCTGATCACCAAGGTCCCCAATGCCGTAGGGCCCAGGAAAAGACGTCGGGTGAAGAAGCACTCCGGCTCTTCGCTTATCACCGGGATCAACTTTCGGAAGCCAGTCCGCGTAGTCAGCCGGCAAGTCCTCGCCGACAGCGTATGCGTCAACCGACATAGTGGCCGTGACGGTCTGACTACGAATGTGCCTAGTTATGATTGTTTTCTGTGGAAAACGAATTGAATATAAGGAATTGGAGGTAACAGAGTTGGTCAGTTTTGGATGAGAGGGGAAGAGAGGCAATGACGAGACAGAATGAACCGCCATTGTTGATCTGGAGATACAAGTTTAGAGTGGAATTGTTGTTATCTGGGAAAGATTGGGGTAGCTTGAGGTGTGGTTGATTACATGGGGGAGTGGGTTTAGGCCGGGAGCATGTGGAGTTCACATGAAAATGCGAAATTCAGCCGATATTGAATCAACCGCTACAAAATAACTTTTGGTGAATGACATTTTTTTATTTCATTTCGATTTTTATTTACTAGTTGTGTACCCGCGCAATGCAGCGGGATGTAAAATTCGAATAAATGTAAATGAAAAGTTGCATGATATCCCTCAGGACAACATCATGTAAAGTTGGTTCCGAGTAAACTTTCCTTAGAGTGTTACCTTGATGGAGTGAAGAAAACTCATCTGATTTTGGATGATCAACTACACAGTAGAAAGAGCAAGAGCGAGCAATATTCTCACTAACGAATGATATTAACCAAAAGAAGTTGATTGCTTGAATGATTATACCAGGCCATGGAGAGGTATAAGTCAAAACATGCATTATGTTACCCCATTTGCAAAAGTTTTAAAATGTTGTTCTACGACATCATACCATTCAACACTCTCATCGTYGTGTACAACATGCATCAAAATAAAAATCGATATAAACACCATAGACATCTATTAGTCTTGAGGTAATCCTTTGCAATTGAATTACACAATCTTTGAATCATATACCTCAATTAAATCAAGTCTCTTGTTATTCAAGTGCAGTCTAATGCTTGTTTCGAGATGTATAAATTGATTATATGGTCTTGGAAAGTGAAAGATGTCGTTGCACAGAAAAAACACCRAAGAACGCTAGAAATAGAAGTCTTCGATGTGGGGTCTGATTTAGAGTCAAAACCGCAAACCAAACAACTTATGCAGTTTGAGGTTTTTTTTTCAAACCAAACCACATAT